GTGTGAATCTGCAAACTTGCAGGAGATACCAAGTGGCTTCAGGAAATCTATGCAGACAAAATTTTGCAACCATCGTGACAGAAGATTACCACTAGCAGAAGACAACATGTGGGACACAAAATGGCGGATGGGGGAAGGCAGACAGTAGATCTGCAGTCTGAAGGTGGGGAAAGGGAACACAAGCAGCAAAGTTTGCAGATTGCAATTCTGTGGTGTGGTAACAGCTTTTGTGTGAGCAGTGTGAAGCTTTTGGTTCTTCATTGGGCCATTATGAAACCACTTGGCAGCAAGCTTAAGGAGGGAATCAAAATTTCAGATTTACTTCTGACTGTGAGAAAAGAGGCTGTATTGGGTTCTCTGGGATATGAAGCAGCATCGCCACATCCACAGGCAATCTGTTTTCAGAGGATATTGAAAAACATCCATATATATTTGTTGCATATTGAGTAACCAAGCTTGTATTAGAAGTGACATGTGGGAAGGCAAATTTTAGTCCTTTAAATAAATATCAGGGATTTTCTCCAACTATGTTTACAGGAAAGGGAAGTGGTTGGCTACATATGATGTAGATGTTCCCTGTGAGTAGGCTATTAATTTTTTTTTCCTGTTTTAAATTTTTTTTCTTCTTTCTCCAGCAGACTCATGACTACATTTTGTAACTGCAAGAGTAGGTTATGAAATCGGTAACCATTCACATTGCAGAGCAAGGTAGTCTTTAAGGAACAAAACACGAGGTAGAAACCTAGAACAGGCTATAGTTTTACAGCTGCCACTTTCAAGATTGTTGCAAACTTCTATGGAAGTAAAGCATAGGAATTCAGGCTGAGGTACACGCCGTGTTTTAGAAGTAGCTGTAAGTAGTAGTTAGGGTGGGAAGAGTGTTTTTGGTCACATCTACAATAAAGCTTCTTTCCTTTGACAGTTTATTTCTGGCTTCTTGGTAGGAACCTCTAAAGCAGGTAGACAGTCACCTACCACCCTCCAGTGGTTTGCAGAGCACAGTGCAAGTGTAATGTTCAGAAAGCTTATTTTGGAGATAAAAAGGGGGGCAGCGATATTTCAAGCTCTCTTCTCAGGATGCATATTGTGGCATTGTGGATTTGTTCGGTGACTTGTGTAAAAGGGCTCATGGTTGTTGGATGTTACGAACTGGTTTAGCGCACCTGTTCTGTGGAGCGTAGTGACAATCTGTGAGATTCCCTGCATTTGCAGTGCATGATACCATCTGCATCTGTGGTGCTTTCCAGTCGCAGTATGTATTGCTGCCAGGATTAAGGAATCTGTGGGTGGTGACAATCGGATGTATGACAGTGAAGGGGTGCTTCGGAGGAGGCTGGGCAAAAGCTACAGTGTCTTAACAATTTAGTGATTCAATAATTTGCAACTCATTATAAATATCTCCTCTGGCTGTTACAGTCTTCCATTTCTTTCTCTCCTTCCAGTCTCTAGAGCACCCTAGGAGAATTAACATACAAGTTTTCAAGGAAATATCTGGGCACTTTTGTGTTATTTTCTTGATGGCATCTGATATTCTCTCCATGGCATGTCACAGTGTCATCAACCCGATGGTTGTACATTTTTCTAGGTCACTGGTGAGGATAATAAAACATGATGCAATTTATTTTTAACTTGCCATCATGAATGTAGAGGGCCATGAGAACTGCAGAAGCTTACAGCAGGGGTGAATTTATCAGTGGTTAAAGAGGCATTAATGCGCTGTGTGACATGATAGCACCGGCCAAACTTACCCACCCAACTTTAGGCTATGTCGAGTCCTGGACTATAAAGCACAAATAAAATAGGCTGATGCTTTCGCTGCTCAATATATTGTTGTCTCATAGCCTTTGCTATGGATTTTCAAGCAATTTTTATTTCACATAACTGTGCTTTTATCCAAGCAAGTCTGTGCTAACATTAACAGTTAAATTTTTGATTTAAGCCTTTTGCAAAAATCTTAAATTGAATTGCACTTTTCTGCTCCAGGGCAACTTAAATTGCTGGCTTATCTACTAACATCCCTTGTCTAGTAGAGAGCGACACTACACATAGTGCTATCTGTTCAGCCAAGCTGAAATACGTGAGTAGGACAGGAAAGTTACCCCAGCTGCCACAGGGATCACCAGGAGTAGACCACAAAGTTGAATTGAACTTCCCCTTCTGAGCTCAACCCATACTGACTGGAGTTGAGTGGAGAACTAGGACTGCAGCTAGGGCAGGGCAAAACAGAAGCGCAGCTTTGGGGGACATTAAGAGCTGTAAAATGCTCCCAAAGTACTCTGATCTCCCTGCATCTGTCCGTGTGAGCAGGAGTCTCACCTTGGTCCTTGGTCCTTTCTTGTATCCCATCTGGGAGTCCCAGGTGCTCTGCACAGTCTCCCAGTTCCATAACCACCTGTCCCCTGGTGGCCTCTCCCAGTGTCTTGCCAGCCAGCTTATTTCTGGTGTGGTAACACGCGTGTGTGGATGGAATAGACACACAGGCACGCTGTCTTGTGGGAGAAGAAAAGGGGCCAGAGAGGCCGGTAGGCCTTGGCTTGCTTTCTGGCTGAATTTGATCACAGAATGTTAGCAAATAAGGCCTGCTTCAGCCCATTTCTGCTAGTTCCCTCTCCTGATAGACCTTTCCTGTAAATCTCAGCAGAAGTTCATGAGCTTGTTCCTTTTTTAACCTATCCTGCCTGTTGGTCATTTCTTTCTGTCTTTTTTTTCCACCTACAAAATGTTTACATTTGGAGTAATGGGACCAGCGTTCTTCTTTGACTTTAAAACTCCATATGAAAAAGCTTTATTTGACTGGGCATTCAGATCAACACTCTAAGGCTTTTGTGTATGTTGCGGAGAGTAAAATGGCTATAATGACACTGCAGGTATATGTGACAATGAAAATTTAGCACAGAATCTTCTCTCCAGTAGACCAAAAAGTGTAGTATAAGAGTTGAGTTGACAGAAAATTCCTGTTTAAGAACTCAATTCATTCTCCTTTATGTTCAACATTGATTTCTCACAAGGCATCCACAGATAAGTGAAGGGTTAAGGTAAAATCCTTTCTTCCAACTGGACAAAGACAACTTTTCCTTTGGAAAGAAAGCCTGTTGCAAGGCTTGAATTGAATTTTCACTGCAAAAAGGATGAAAGTCTCCAGGTCAAACGCTATGTAACCCAGTGACTGTAATGACATGGTAAGACTGTGATGATAATGCCACGGTCTGTGTGGTGTGACTGCTGAATACTATGAACATGAGCTACAATATGTATAGGTTCTGGTTTTTTGTTTTATTACTTTTTTAATGGCTCCCATTTTTCCAGACTGCCATACAAACCCCAGCAAACTTCGTTTTTACTCCTAAGCAGATGTATCAGAAACTGACATGAGGTATCAGCTGGTAAATAAACTGCTAGCTCTGTCTCTTTGCATATTACTCAGGAAATATTTCGGTTCTTCTAAAGAGTTATTTAAGCCCTGTGTTCATAAAACTCTGGCAAAGGCTAGAAAATGCCCCAGAGACTGTGTTTCGGGGGAACAGCTCTGAAACGTGCAAGCTGTAGCTGCCATTAAAGAATTAAATTTGTTTCAACTGGTATGTACTGCTTTAAAACCAAGGGCAGGAAGAAGCATTTCTGAGAGTTAGCCCTCTCAGTGACATTGCACTGACATTCCTCACCTTTTGCTGCACTTGTGCTCCTTCAAAATGTGACCAGACAGCAAACAGTGTTCAGCCTAGAAGAATGGCCATACTGGTTCAGGTTAAAGTCTAAGCATCTAGCTTAGATGCCATCTCCAACATTAGCCATAAGCAATTTGGGAAAACTTACTATTTCCCAAAAACAAACCAAAAGAAAATTAAAACAAACAAACAAAACCACAAACAAACTAACAAACAAACAAAACCCAACAACCAAAACTCCAAAGAAAACAAAGCCAAACTCATACCTTCAAAGTAAATTTATACCACCTTGGTGCTCTGAAGTGGCCAAGGAACCAGCCTTCGCACCTGGAAACTATTAGGAGCCACAGCCCGTGTGCATTAGAGGTCGATGCAGAGGAAGGAAGAGTGCTGCTGTCCTGGTGGTCCATGGTGTGGCAGGGATGCTGAAGCACAGTTGTTCAGTCCTGCATTTGCACAACTGCAGAGAGGTGGCACTGCTGGGGGCTTGCACTCATTTCATTCATCATGTGCTGGCAACCAACTCCGAGGTTATTCGTTGGAATTGAGGCATTTTGCTTTTAAATGTCATATTCTTTCAGCAGTTTCCAAAGGCAAGCACTTTAGTAGAGAAGGGTTTGAGTTTAAAGAAGTGCTGGAAAAAATGTCTTCGAGAGCAAAATTAAAAAAAAAGCGCCTCAAGAGTTGCATTGTTCAAATGGAGAGAATAGCCGGTTTCATCCTAAAACAGCCTTAACTTAAGCTAGGATTTAGTGCTGTGATTCACTAACATGCCTGGAAGATCCTTCTTGCATTACTGAGGCTGTTTGACTGCTATCATGTACAATAATTTCCATGTAATCATATTTTCAAGTTTATTGAATGTAATCCTCAATGCAGTTGCATTTCTTATGCTTTTATTTTATGGCAAGACTGTTCCACAACTGCGTTCCTCTAATTTTAAGCAACTGAGAAAGGCTGAGAACAGTTTTGGGGTTTTTTTCTTCTCTTATCACCAGACATGTGCATCAGGTGAAGTTAAAATAAATACCCAGCTTTTTACTTGTCTAGTAACATGTTGTGGCTGTACTGCAATTAACTTTAGCTATCATTTGCAAGCAGACAGAAAAAGAACAGAGATCTTCATTCCTCTGAATCTGTGAGAATGAAATCATTATGAATTCTACAGTGACAATGCACATGCTACTGTAATGTGTATTATCAAAATAAAAGGATTTGTTACTTTTATTACTGCTTGGGGTTTTTGGTACAAAGAGCCAGAATGGCCTTATCAGTTTACAGTAAAATTTTACAAGTCTGATTTTTTTTTATTGCTTTTTTTTTTTTAAATTACAGTGGGAGAAACTACAGATGACAACAAGTGAGAGGAGGAAAATAGTTTGTTCAGTCACATTCCATGTAATTGCAATTACCTGTGTTGTTTGGTCATTGTATGTTTTAATTGATAGAACTGCCGAGGAAATTAAACAAGGCAATGATAATGGTAAGTATCTTTTACCTTCTTCAATCTTGTTGGCAGTGCAACGGATGGCTTTGAGAGGCAGCTGTGTAACCAATCGCATTCTGCTCTTAAATAACAGCTCACTGAGATGTGGCTATATCAAATGCTTTAATGCAGAAGTAATGAATGCATCACTGTTAAAAGCTTATGTTATGCCCTTGCAGAGAGGAATCTACTTAGTGTAATCGTTACAACAGCTTAACTAGCCTGCTCATTCTTTCTAGATTAATCTCCCATTGTCTAGATATTTCTAAAGGTCAGACAGAAGGATGAGTCAAATTCAAACAGCTCAGTGCAAGTTCAGGTCATAAAATAGCAATTTATTTGTATTACCCACTTGAACCTGGATATCCTGTAAAACACGATAGAGACCTTTCATCAGCAAGCTTCCTAATACAAAATTCCAACAGACCATGTTCCAGCTGTGTTAGTCCCTCATGTGGGACTTAAATAGCCTGGAAAGCCATTCCTGCGTCCTTCTGAATAGAATTTCACTGTGAATGTCCATGTTCCAGTTGTGTTTATTGTGAGGGTGGTCAAACACTGAAGCAGAGAGGTTGTGGAACCTCCATCAGTGGAGATACTGAAAACCCAACTGGACACATGTAATGAAATGTATGTTTAACAAAAGTAGGTTTCTTTCTGGATGATACTTACTGTATGTGGAAACTATATGCCAAACTGAACTACTGTTTTCCATTTCAAATCTAAGTCTATTTGGTCTTAAATTTAGTCTTAAATATGGTCATGATGATGAAGAGGATAAAAAGCTTTTGTTCTGAATTGACTTTAAGCACAGTAGAGGAACAAGGTCTCTAGCTTCGTGCTGCATTCTGGCGTTAATATGGAAAACAAAGCAGGCAGAGCTTTGTGCCTTGCTAGTTAGATAAATATTTGATGACACTCCTGATGCTTGCCTTTCTTGCTTATGAGAGGAGTATATGAGCCTCAGTAAGTCACAGATTAATGTATACTACAAAGTCTTGGTCTGCATTCTTCCTAAATGGATAACTGCTTCTCATCTGGAAAAAACTGGCCCTGAGGACAGGACTAGGAATGGCTTTGAACTTCTATTTATGAGTACAACTACACCACCCCACTCATTAAAAAGGGGAAAGGTATTTCTGTGGATTAGCTGAATTTACACGACAAAACAGCTAAAAAGATTTTTTTGGTGTTATAAGGCATGCATAAGAAGCACATTAATTAATCCTGCTAGTCTCAAATTTGAAAGTATTTATTCTTCACACTAAAAAACAAAGAGATGCCTTGGAGCTACTTACAACATGCAAAAAATAAGCGTTTGTGAAGAGAACTCTTTTGGCCCCAAATTTGCTTGTTGGGGGGTGGGGGTACTTTTACAAGATGAAACATGTATTTTGGGGTTGGGCGGGAAGTGACATATATGTAGTTTGCTCTCCATTATTTCTGTTTAAATGGCAAATGCTGGGAAAAAGACAGTGAACAGTGGAGGAAAAATACTTTAAAAACATATTTTGAGGAGGAGAAAAATTGAGAGCCCTGAATAATACTAGTACTGTTTGTTAATATTGTATAAGTTTAAAAACCTCTTTTTTAAATGTATCTCTCAAAATATTTAAAGGGATTTTTTTTTTTCTCCTTACAAAAGCATATGATGCAAATAAATAAAAGTGTAAACCTCTTAACTGGTAAACCTGTCACTGGTCTATAGAAAGGACAATTTAAAATATGTTTAAAATATTCTAGAATTTATATGGCACCAGTGGTAGGGAATCAAGTTTCACATAAATTTGCTCTGCATGAAAAAACAGATGTAGGCTTAGCTGAGCTATGTCTCTCCTAATAAAGCTTGAGTCTGTGAAAATATGGTAATCCTGGAATATACTGAAAGGTACAAAATCCACTGGGCCATAGCAGTTAAGCAAAAAATTATGCTTCCTGTATTACCATGGAAGAAGCAGCAGCACATCTTTACTGCTTAAGGGGTGGAAGAAACTTTGAAGGAAAGCTGAGCCGTTTATTTAGCCTTTTTCTTCTCAGCTCACCATTCCAGCTGTGACTTGCTGGTTCTAAGTGTTGTTACCACCAACGGAGCTTAGTCAGATGCAAACCATAATATTTTCCTAATTAAGAGCAAGGAAGAGACAGTGATTTTTAAAAACAGTTATTAAAAGGGGAAAAAAAAAGAAAAAAACACATCACTGGATATGACAACTTAGCACGGTATTCTTTTTGTCCAAGGAGCAGGGGATTGAAGAAAGGCACGACAAAAGTTTTGTGAACAAATTCAACAAATATAAAATGATCAGGCAAGTTCAACTAACCAGAGTAATATTGGTGAGGGAGATACAACGTGATTTACATGATCTTTGTATGCTTTCATTTTGCTGCAAATTAAAAAAAAATTAATTGGCTAGCACCATCACTTAATACATTGTTATTACTAAACTGTTACCATGACAGGGAAAACTACAGCTACTTCAAACATGTTGTGTGCTTTTGCAATAATTAATATTCTTTTGGTCTCTATTTGTTTATTTAATTAAAAGCACAGTTCCTATGTGTTTAGCAGTAAAGGGAATACTTAGATTCATGAGACTCACACAGCTGGCTAAAAGTAAAGACTTGCTTTTGAGGAGTCCAGGTTACCAGGTCTAGGAGTCAAGACTGGCTCCTCACTGAAGCTCTTCTGCTGAGCCCCATGGGAAGGCAAATTTCTTCCCTGCCCTGCCTTCCCTGTGTAAAACTTGAGTGAAACTCACAAATATCACCAGTGGTTGAATAAGCATCTGCAAGAAGATGTCTTGAATACTGCACTCAGTGAGCAAAACATTATTCAAAGACCTTCCACAGAGGACCAACGAACCTATTCAGGTTGTTCAGGCCAACTGTTGAAGCACAAACAGCAGGGAAAAGAGGCCAAAAAAGAGGTGATGCAAGAGATAAGAGCCCTTTCCTCTAGCTTTTTTTACTATACCCTGGCTTCAGGATGAAGCTAGGACCAGGTAATAGTATTGTCATATTCCAGGTACCTTAAACAGTGTCATGCTTCTAGCATGATTAAAAAAAACAGCTGTTGTGGAAGATATGCATAATATTTCTAGGTATTGTTATCTTGGGTTTGGTACTTGCATATTTGATTAAGCAAGCTACTGGATATGGGGATATTATTGTGAATAATAGTGACGTGTTGGGTTTGACTGTATCAAGCATTATGCTTCCTTTGTGAGAGTGACCTTGCGTTTCTTATTTGACCAAATTGTGGTGAATTCAGTTAAAAGTGGGAGGCAGATGGCTGGCCTATGGGGCGGGAAACTGCTGCTGTCTTCTACTTGAGCCACAACTGCCCCAACCGTGCCTACACACCTGGGAATTCTTAGCAAGGAGCTTCTTTTCAAAATATTTTACTGAAGCTCAGTACTTGATATTCAATGTATAACAATGGTAATAAATACAAATGTTTTATTTCAAAGGTGTCCTTGAATGGCCGTTTTGGACAAAACTCGTTGTGGTGGCCATTGGATTCACGGGGGGCCTGGTCTTCATGTACGTGCAGTGTAAGGTTTATGTTCAGCTGTGGCGCAGGCTGAAAGCCTACAACAGAGTGATCTTTGTTCAGAACTGCCCAGACACTGCCAAAAAAATGGAGGAGAAGAACTCTTCGCGCACTCAGACCTCAGATGTCAAGGACGCAGTGATGGTGCCAGTAGCACAGACAGGTACAAACTCTCAGCCAGCAGCTGAAGAAATGACATCAGAGGTCATGCCAGTTTGACAGAGGCAGCATTGTTTCTTCCTTGCAGAATAAGGCGTACTGTTTTCTGCACTACAAATGCTAAAAGAGAGTAGAAATGACTGCATTTTTTCAGTTAAAAACACAAAAAAAAACCCACAAAAAACCAAAACCCTATGAGGAAAATGGATCCAGCAAAGCAACTTGTTACTGTATGGAATGTGACTGTTCGTGAAGTAGTTTCTCAACTAGTCAGCAAGTGTAGTGAAAGTGTAGAAAGTACAATAGAGAACAGGTTTAACAGACAATGCCAAACCAACATGATGAGAGTACTTTTTCTTTTTTAGAAAGACCTAATATAATAATTTTGTTTACAAAAAACAAAAACCTTTCATCTGTTTACTACTAAAAGCTGTATTTCCTATTTATCTTCTTAAAGATACACTTCAAAAGGGTACCAGTCAAGTTATGTGCATTAACTGAATCCAAGTATAAAGAGCACTCACTCTCTAAGCCTCATATGGTAACACGCGTTCGTGACTGCACTGGAGCCTGAATGTTTGGGCGGCTGCGTCAACTAAGGATATTGGAAACATTTGAAGGGCAGCATTGTTTTTAAATATGCCTGAATTTTGGAAAAATAAGCAATTCCAAGCAGTATAAACTCATGTCTCCATAAGCTACAGATTTTTTTGAAGTACAGCTGTCAGCGAAGTAAATACAGGAAGGACAGAATGTGTAGCTATGTATTTAGAAGAGCAGCTCAGCTGGTTGTTTTACTTTGTAAGAGTGAATTAGACATAAATTGGATACATAAAGTTTTGAGGCAGAACTATAAATGGAAAAAAATGCAATTTACTACAGAATGACACAAAAGTAAATTGCATTTTATCAAAGGTCTGAAAAAGCACAGCACATAGGGAAGATGGAAGCCATTGTTGGGTTAATTTTTTAAGATTCGTGTTACAGAAAGGTAGGCATAAGAGAATATACATACGAATCTTAAGAGAACATTAGTTTTTATTTCCTTGTTCTGAAAAGTTAGTTTTTATCTTCCTGCCCAAACAACCTAAATCAATGGTTTCCCTCTGTACAGGTAAAGCTGAGGTATTAAGAGATTCAACAGCTCAGTTGTTAACTTTGTGTTTTGAGCATTCTCATATAAAAATAAAATGTGAATAGCATTAAAGGGTGCAATAGATAAATGACTGTAGATATAATACTGTGTCCAACAGGGTGAATTATATGTAAAGAACCAATTTTGTGATTCACTTCCCATACCTGTGATGTTTACCATCAGGACCCAACAGCAAGAATTGACTTGGAGTAGTTACGTACTGGCGTGGACAAGTCTGGGGCCCGAACATAATGTATATTTAAAACATAAGTTAAAAGTTCTTTTTCGATCTCGCATTTAGGTAAAGGAGGAAAAGCAAACAAGCAAGTAAAGAAGCAGAGTAAAGAGGATAGGAGAGCACAGGTTCATTCAGAGGGGGAACTTGCCACAGTCACCAGTGAACTAGACTTCTACAGAAGCCTTGCAGTTTCTAATGGTAAATTTCCTCTTTACACACTCAAATATCTGCAATTAAATAACAGAATAATCCCATTCTTCCAAATATCCAGAGTGCTAGGCCTAAGATGTATTGAACTTTATATATTAGGCATTCCTTTGTGAATGTGTTTACTGGCTTAAGGCTCAGGGAATACTGGAAGTAGCAGTATTAGCAAGAAATGTGTCTTTTATCAGACCATTATGTTCTTTTCTATTGGAATTGCTCGTGTAATTCGCTGTGACCAAGTGATTGTCATCTGGCTAGACAGGACACAAAATCTTCGTGCTTGAACCCGCCCTAAATACATATTAGTATTTGCTCTAAGCTATTCCAGGTGAGTTGGATTAATGTCAAAGTTTTTTCGCATGATGACACGCACTTTTCATGTAAAACAACTTTCCAATTACACAATTGCAAATTGGAATTGTAAGCAGCTTCTCATTTGAAATGACATACAAAAGTAACCAAATAATTTCTGTTTGTAATTGTGGAGGAGACTTCAGAAGGTCCTCAGAAAACAATGACAGAACTAAGGAATGCCTCATAACCGCACACGGTTAAGATGGTCTGCAAAGGCATGGTTTTCAAAAAGTGTAAATCCACTTGCTAAAAGGGAAATCTCATGACATCTGAAGTTAGACACTTAAAATTACTAGCTGCATCTAAATTGAATGATGTTTACTATAAAACCTGATGTATCATAGCAAAATTGACTGACAAGGAACGTTATGGAAGATAAAATTAAGACCTTTCTGACATAATCAGAAAGTTTCTTACTAAGTGACAGTAACCCCGCTGCTTCACCCAGCTTGTTCTTTGACCTGCTGTAGCATCATGACCCCACTGAAGGTACTTTATCCCCTATTTTGACAGTTTACTGGAGACTGATTCACATTTGGTTTTTTCTTGAACAAGTATAAAATGCAACTCAAAGAAAAATACCTGAGGCTTCTGCAAACAGATTTACAGCATCCAACAAGATTACTGTACATTTTAAAAAATACACAGAAGAGTTGGCAACAGAACAGACAACTTACAAAATTTTATACTAATGACTTCAAAACACTATTTGGCACTATTTTGGCTGAAATTCCTCCTCTCCCTTTGAAATATTAATTCAGACAGCGGGAAAAGGAGCAAAATGGGACAGTGTCTGCTCAGAGACAGCAAGAGAGATGACAGCAGGCTCGAAGCAGCCTTTAACCTTTTAAAGCATTACAGTATTAGCCCATGCATCCCTTTCTCTTCTTAGGTGCAGTGGATATTCTAGAGCTTTCAGGGATTTCATGCAGGATTGGAATTTGTATCTGAAGCAGGGTGGTCCCTCTTCAAGAGGACAACCAACATTCACACCAACATGCCTTGGATACAGCTCTGCATGAATAAGGAAGGTGCACGAATACAGACACTAGACAGCTGCTTATCAACAAATGTGTTTTTTATTCCCACACAAAGCACAGTTTTCTGTATTAATTTAATGACCACAGGTTTCTATCCTGCAAAAACAGTATACTGAAAGTTTTAAGATACATTCTAAGATTTCTTAATGAAAATGATTGATAAATAGTCCTGGTTTCAGCTGGGAGACAGGTGGTGGGTTTTTTTTCCTCCTTAGTAGCTGGCATAGTGCTGTGTTTTGGATTCAGGATGATAACTCACTGATGGTTTAGTTGTTGCTAAGTAGCACTTACACCAGTCAAGGACTTAGCTTCCCCTGCTCTGCCAAGGGCACAAGGAGCTGGGAGGGGGCCCAGGACAGCTGACCCCAACTGGCCAAAGGGCTATGCCAGACCATATGATGTCATGCTCAGTATGTAAACTGGAGGGGAGTTGGCAGAGGGGTCCACTGCTCAGGAACTGGCTGGGCATCGTTTGGCAGGTGGTGAGCGGCTGCATTGTGCATCACTTAGTTATTTTGTATATTCTTTTATTATTATTTTCCCTTCCTTTTCTGTCCCATTAAGCTGTCTTTATCTCAACCTACGGGTTTTACTTTTTTTTTCTGATTCTTTCCCCCATCCCACTGAGGGGGGGCAGGGAGTGAGTGAGCGGCTGGGTGGTGTTCAGCAGTTTAACCTGCCCAGTTAAACCACAACAGTCCTTTTTGGTGCCCAATGTGAGATAACGACAGACCTGACCAGAGCGTGTTAAAACAAGTTTTTGATAAGCATTCTTTATATTAGTTTAGTAGTTGCAGGGTTAAACCATGCCATCTATCAAATAAAGATCCGTATCAAACTGCCTGTGTAGCTGCAGTACATCTCAAGCAAACATGCAGGCAGCGGGATTTAGCCTGGCTAAACCCATGAGGGCAGAAGCTTGCTCTGAGGTGCCATTACGGAGAAGGGCTTTATCTGCATTCTTGTTTAAGCAAGTTGTAATGAAGTAATCTGGTAGAAGTAATCTGGTGTCAGATCAGATCTGGAATTTTAAACAAGATACTCTCAACCTCTGAACATGCACGTTTCTTCTCCTGTTTTAAGTTAAAAGCATTATGAAGTTTATTTCAAACTGGCATAAACATTCCACTTTTGACTATCATTAGCATTATGAAGATTCTCTTCTGTATCTGAAAGCAGTGTTTATTTTTGTTGCGTAGAAAAAAAAACTGTAATTCCCCATCACCACAACAAACCATTTATTATTTCTAGTAACACAATAAAACTTATTCTATGATGAAAGTATTTTACTGTGTATAATATTTGGAACTATGAGTTTGTGGTACTTGCTTAACTCCCTCTCTTTTGCAAAAGAAAAATTGTATGTTCTTGTGGGTGAATGTGTACTGAAAGACAGAAGGTAAGGGAAACAAAAGTAATATATCTGCTTATTGTTGTGGAAAAAATGTATTTGTATTAAATGACTGCAATTACTGTGGTATTCTACATTTGTCACTTTGTTATATAGAGCATCACACACTGAACGTGAATTGGCAACACCACGCTCTCGCAAGAAACGTAAACAATATACTCAGCTGGTACTTACTTAAACCTGATAAACCTGCTGGCTCAGAGTGGCTAGTTTTAGGTACCATACCTTGGCAGAACGCTTGGGAAAATACTTCACAGTACAAAAACACCTCTAAAGAACTATGGTTGTCTAACTTGCAGAAAGGAAGACTGGGAATGGGATATATAAGAACAGGCTTCCCAGAAAGCAACTTATTTTACATCCATAGCAAAATGGAAAACTAGTACTGGGCTTCAGCTGCAGGAGGGTAAGAGGGAAACTTCGTAAGGAGAGCAGTGCCCTGGCATGAACTGTTTGTAACATGTGATAAAGCTAATCCCACCTTAAGATTGTCAGAATGAATCAGGTTCTTTTTTTTTATTATTTTAGAATTCTATTTGGTGAGATCTTCTCCTTTTCCAAAAACCTTAAATGCTTTTTTAATGAAAAGAAATGTTACATGTTTGCATTATAAAAGAATCTGTGTACTTTAAGTCAGGTGTAAAACCAAAGGAAATGTACTAGCTTGATTAATACACAGCATTCCAACCAAACTACAGATTTAGTTTTCTCAAGAGGGTTGTATCCACCTACCCCGTATCTTTATCCTAGATTGTCAGCTGGGGAGAGAGTGGGCTAAGTTTTGAAACTTCACACTTCTAGCTGGAACAAGTAATCATGTGGCTGGTGACTGCTAAGAATATACATTCAAAACACAGAAGTGTTCTAGCAAATCACATTCCCTACATCCAAGGCCAACAGATTGTTCATTTTGTTAAAGCTGCCCTAACTAGCTCACCATTTAAATCAAAGATAGATTCATGTGTCCCTACAAGATACAGCACAAAAAACCAGCATAACCAAGGGAATTCCAGTAATAAAGGTATATTCATTTCCATTTATTATAGCATATGGAAAAATAGAACCAAATTAATTTTTAGAATTAAGAGAATAAAGGTATAGTTCACTGTACCTTGCTGCTTTGCACACAGCAGTTCAAATTGCTTGATGAAGGGTACTATAACACAAAAACCATTTCTGTTCCGTTTGCTCTGTGTACACATAAACAAAGAAACAGGCTATACAATATTTACTCACACCTTCCTCGCCCCAAACATTGAGGCTGTTCTGCATGAACTTTATCTAAAAGCCAAAAAAAATTGTCAGTTAACAACAAACTCGCCCAAAGTACTTTGAATGGTGTACCACATCTGCTACCTATGACATGGTGCTCAGAAAATAACCTCGGATAAATTTTACAGCGTGGTTGAGAACACGACGATTGGGACAAACTTGACCTTCTTTTACTTGCAAATACTTATGGCTGACACTAACTGAATCAATCACAGAACTTCCTTTTGTTTTTAAACAACTCAAAGATAAAATATATGAAAATACAATAATCAATCAGCACTATTCCAAATAAAAACAGGCCTTGTCTCTTCATAAATTTTCCAATTGACATGTTACTGTCTCGGTTGACTATGTGCAGGCTTACTTACAGAAACAGGAGCCAATATTGGTGGAATGATGCCACCTTTCTGTATTTCTTTAGAAAATGCTTCTGATTTTAGAGCAATGCTGGCACTGGTCTAATAACCGAGTTGGAAGTTTTAATGTGGGTTTTTTTGTTGGTTTTTTTTTTTCATTTGTAAAAGGTAACTTTTTACACACTAAACTGTTCCTTTTAAGAAAATTGGGCAGTACTTGCCATACAAGCAGCAAACGCTTAGGGAACCTTATTACAGTACCACTACAGTAAGTGCCCCACAGTCAGGCAATTTTTAGAGTTTTATTATAGGAACTCTGCACAGGATCTTCCTAGCTGTATTTAAGGCAACAGCTTAAACTGCAGTGTATAAATTACAACACCTCATTAGCAAAGTTTCCTACCTTCCTATAACTTACTTCTAGGTAACTATAACTCTTCTTACTAGGAAGAAAGTTTGGAAGTCAATTATAATGAATTTTTACCATTGAAAGAGCTGTAAGACAGAAGTATGATGTATGCATTGTAGCATGCTGAGAGTGACCAACCCATTTGACACACTTCTGAAGTGCAGGCATTTCTTGGCCCTTCACTAGAAAACTAAGCCTGGAGGATTCCTTAAGTGGAGAACTTCTGCTGAGAAAAAACAATAATGTCCTTTTCTACTACTCTTGTCTATCTGCCAGGTGTCTAGCAAAAAAGAGGGTTTTTTTTTTTAAAGTTGGACTCCAACAGACACATTTTCAGATCCCAGACTCTGTCCTCACATACAGCAGTGTCATTAGAGAGATGAGTGCACATTCTATTGCAATCAAAGACAAATAATTCACACAGAAGATACTCTTCAAGTGTATTCCTTGAACTACTTAGGAACGGCTCAGAAAATGGTTCATATATATTGCCTTTTTGACTTGTTGCATGCCACTGCACATCCTGGAGTTCCATACAGATTGACATATGTTAGTAGTGGGAAAAAAGGAAAAACACAATAATGAGACTAAACGTGCTTCACTTTATGCTTGTTCCTCCACATCACAAATGTTGGAAACCTTATCCCTTTAGAACCAACTTTATGGAGCAGATGGGAAAGCCACGGTGAACAGTTCTGTTAATTTGTTTCCAACACTAAAGAACTGTAAATTAATTAATCCATTGCATACAACCAGCCTGGAGAAGGATAGCAGTTTCTGGTTTGGTTTGGTTTTTAAATCAACTTTGTTTACATGAAAAAATCATACTGCTACTAGAATTCAAGTCAGCTGTTTTTTTCCAATTGAGACCATCAACAGAGTAAGTTCCAAAATCAGAGCACAACTAACAACTCAGCTGCTACTGAAAGTTTGACTGTAATTTGCCAGTTCCTTAGAGCAGTCTTAGCTCTCCAAGGCTGGCTGGAGTGAAAGTATCACTTAGTAAGTACACTGCAAAGTACAGTGAAACAAATTAGAAAATACATCAAAAATGCCCAAAGTGCTTATATAAAAGTGGCTTTCCATGTTAAAATGTTACTTTTTCCTTGAAATTTTGTATGAGAGTCCTGGTAATTAAAGAAACTTGAGTTTTAGCTATTACAAATTTGCAGTTAACAATTAAAAAAAACAGGGACATTGTGAAGCAATATCTGACAGGTTAAGAATAAAAGAAATCCTCCATAAAATTAATCTTTAACCAGAAAAAAAACCATCAACTATGGAGAACTGTAATAGAGGAATTAACATTAAAGTCTGTAATCCTTAGTTATAAATTAACAGAATTTCAAGGTATTCCCTAAAGCAAATTTGTAAGAACAGAGAACATCCCATAAATGTTTCCCATTCCCACTGTTAACAGCAGTTGCTTTCTAGATTTTAATTTTAAAGAAACAGAGTAGCAATTCAGAACTCCTGAGAGCATTCATCCTTCTTTTCCACCATAGGGAACAAACTAATCAACATACAAAACCCTAATAGCTGGCTTTAAAGCACAGGCATGATTGGATTATGAAGCTGATAGATGAGATTCCATCATCTTGTGGAGACAGTAACACACGTAAAGAAAAAAAAAAACTTTTTCTTCCCCTACTCCAGGCTTCTCAGCACAAAATCTCTGAGCAGAAATACAAATAAATAGCTTTGGGGTTCTGTTTCCCCATTGCCACATTGGCATTCTGCAACAGAACTCATCTGGTAAATTGGTCTTGCACGTTATCAACTTAAGCCCAGATTACTTTTCAATTTGAATATGAGTATTTGACAGCTACAAATTTTTTTTCTGATAAATCATTGTAAGAAGTCCACATACAGAACCTGTTCTTTCTTCCTAACCGACTGACTTATGCAGCAAGTCAACAAGACAGTTTAAAAGCCATCTAAACAAGCAGTGAATATACAAGATTCAAGGGAGAAAATCCACAAACTCAACAAAATCCAAATTGTAAACATGTTTTTGAAGTGTGAACAACAGTTGTTAAAAAAGAAATCACTTCAAATATTTGACAATATTCACATCAACCACACAAGTAATAATTACTTTTTAATAATGACTTAATAGTGAATTGTTTCAAGGAATATAGAACATCTCATTCTCCATAACTTTGTGGGACAATCTTTTTTAAAGCATTCACCAGGACGTCAGCCTAACATACTGTCATTACTGTAACATGCCAATTCTTCTAGTTACCTTACTGCTCATTTTCCTTCTATATTTTACCCAACGTGATGGGAAAGTGACTTTTTCTGCAACATTTCTACTTAGAGATTCAAAGCACATCAGACATAGTAAACAAGCAAAAATTTAAAGTGAAATCTTCTGAAAGGCAAAATCTGTCAAACCACTGAACAAACACACACATGGCTTTAGTTCAGACCAATCGCCCTGGCTCCACCACAGTGTAACACCTCAGGTCTTATAAATCAAAACAAGCTGAATTCCAGAATACAGCTCAATTAACAAATTTTAAAAAATATCAAGGGCCTGCCCTGCACTTCAGCACAGTTATTTCTAAAACACAAACACAAAGCAGTGATGTGACAGCATATAGAGATGTGGCTGGTGTCAGAGGATAAGACCTCTAGCCAGGTTTAAGACTTGCAGTCTGTCTGAAGATCACTCACACATGCTTCAGGTCTGTTAAATTCATTCAGATTTCTTCTTTAGATTCATTTAAGGAGGACAATGGGTAATTCTGTATTACTTAAATAGACTGGTTTCCTAAAACGTGGAAGGATAGCACAGGCCTATTTTGTAAAGAGGGAAAAACTCACTATAGATGTTAACAGAGTAACACTCGTCAGTAACACTTACTGCACAGCGAAGATAATACAGGCCCAGATATCTGTAGGAGAAACCTGGGAAACCCACATAACTATTTACCATGACAAAGCCTTGCTTAACACACAGAACTGTATTGGGTATCAAGTACTAGAAGGATCATCCACCAGGAAAAATTATTTCCACATAATCAACAGGCATCTGAACAGTGACTGCTACAACATGTAGAGACAGCACACCTGAACTGTGACTTCCGTGCCCAGACAATCTAATCCACACTAACACAGAAGTCCCACTTAATGCCTGCTGTGAAATTGTCCCTAGCTTTGCCCTTAACCTTTTTTCCTTTTTTTTAATTTTAATTTTAAGGTATTAAAAGTGAGAATCTGCTAAGAACCTTCCTGCAGGGCATCTAAAGAGTTGCTTCATAAAGCAAGCCTGCTATTTAAAAGTCCTAAGCAACTTAATTTTAAAATGCACAGCTTTCTCAACAGAGGGGTCAGCAAAAAAAAAAAAAAAAAATGGACAAAAGATGTATTTAAAAACAGCTCGTAGGGACTTTAAATGGCTTCTGATCTGAATTCTTCAATACAGAGTTATGAGGAAGTGTAATTCTCTCAAATTCCTGTCATAAAACACAAAATACTCAATATCTTATTGAAGTCTTTCCAGCTCTCTATGTTCCTGACAGAGATTCTCAGACAAGAGAAGGTACAAGAGAAGAGTTCTTCAAGATTAACTGATGCTCCATGTATCTCATCTGCATACACACTTCCACCAAATGGGAGAGCATTTCTTACACCAAGGGCGAGTGTTCTGTGCCACACAGCACGGGATTTTGTGAGATGAGGCCTATCACAGCTCTCCACAAAACTGTGTACACCTAGAGATATCCCAGCCACCACCACAAGACATGGCTAAAAGTTGCCACTAGCTGGGCCCACTGTTTACCAGGGTACCTGCTATTTATATACTAAATGACATACCTTCTTGCCATTACCAGGAAAAGGTAAGATTTCCCACCACAAAGTACTTTTAACAGGTGTCTGAATCCTGACTGCTCTATGACCAGGGAAGAGGTACTCAACTTCTCAGGATTTCAAGATATAAACTACAATTGCTTTGTCAACTCAGGAGTCTGCATCCTAAAGAGAAGGTACAGCATGAGAAGTAAGGACACAGTTAAGATTTTAGGTATTTATTTATATTCAAAATTTTTTATCCAGTAATATACAGCTTTACCTAATAATACACTGTTTACTCTTTACCGTAGGTACACAGTGAGCTCATAAAAAATGCAACTAGCAAAGTCTTTGCAAATATAGTTAGAATTTATTATCTTTCCAGTGATAACTAATATAGGTTTCTTACAATTCCCTTCAGCTGTTTCAGCTCTTGAATCAGCTGGTGCTCATTAGGCCACCTCTTCTGCTTTATTCAATTCTTTAGCTTCCACATCTGCCACCTCAGGCTGACTGCAAGCAGCATCCCTAGCAGACAGCTTTTTCATTTTGATATTTGGCAGTTTCTTCAGATCACCATCCCATTCTCTTAAAGAAATAAAAAAAAACAATTACCAATAGAAATAGCAAGAAGGAATGGCAGAGTTAACTCACCTTGCCTCAGAAGATGTTCAAGTCAAGTGAGGCTGCTTTTCTAAATTCCCACTGCAGTATGAATAAGCACCAATGTTTCCACCTGATCTTGTACTCTACAGCAACTATAATTTCTCTGTGAAGAATTAAGTACTTTTGGATTTGACATTCCGAAAACAAAAAATATATAATTCACTTTATCCCCACAGACTAATTGTATCCTCAGCTACTACTTTAGGCCACACGCTTTTAGGTTTGACATACTAAACTCCCAGTCTTGTAAGCAATGGAAAAGCATTTTGGAAGAGTTTCTTCATCTGGATACTCAATCTGCAGAGCTAATGTGCATGTACATGAAGTCCTTCATTATGGTTTATGGTAACTGTTAATATCTTGTATGACTGACTGCAAGGGGACACAAAATGTTAGTAAACATTCATTCACATGATAAGTATATTATTTCAAAAGGCTCCACGAAGGAGGAAGGGTTCATTTAAATATCACAAGTCAAATCCAGTACTCAATTTAATGGAATGCTTATTTGATTACAGTAAGTGCACTTCATGGATAATTTCTGTCAAGGGCAAAGACAGTATTTGCCAATTATAAGACAGATGTGCTTTTGCTCTACCAGGGTAATAAAACAACACTTTGATCAGATGTCCAGATGTACAAGAAGCAAACTGTGTATTTATAAACACAGCAGCCGGAGGCCTTTCTGGTTTTGGGGCTTTCTGGCTTTATTCCAACATCCTGTAAGTATGACTTCTGGCTACATAGCACCTCTAGGAGTTAGTGATGTATCATTCCTGGCAACATAGGCACTCATAACTCTCTTTTTTCCTTTACAGTGTCTCATTTGATAGAGCTGTCAGCAAGAGTGTTCATTCAATCCATTACCAAGGCATATTGGCTTGCTGCTTCAGACGAGCTAGCAGCAAGTTTCACAGCTCCCAGATCTTTTAACTGGATGCAAGTCATCAATTCGCTTAAGATTTTCAACTAGTATTACATACCAACAGTGCTGCAGGCTGTATTACACCTAGAGTTGGATGTTAGAAAAACATGACTAAAACTTAGTGCTGTTTTAGATACTTCATGATCAGTTCTGACTATAAGTAACTTATAACTAACTATACAACTAAATATAACTAACTTATAAGTCACTACGTTGTAAGACTGCAATTACCATATGAAATCTCATTTCAGATAAGAGAACAGTGTAATTCCATTTATCAATAAATCTATGTCTTGATCCTTAAACACTTAACAGTAAATGCTAATACTTTTTGTGTAAATCAGTGAATAGCCAAGGTGAGAATTTTAGGTAAAGAGAAAATATTCTCTAAGAGTATCGAAAAAAAGACACATAAGTTACAGAAATGGAATGCTAACTGTTGAAGCTTTCTAACCCTTCCAACATTTTAATGATTAGCTGTCACCTGCATTTAGCTTGTAACAGCTAAGAAATGCTGAAATAGCAACACCATACCTAGTCTACTTTTTCATATGACAAATTCTTTGACAGTTTTGCATAAATTCTTTTTTTAAGAAAAGACATACAACCTGTCAAATTCAGAAACACTATTTTGCATAAACGGGCTAGTAGTGAAAATAAGAAAAACTTACCTGAAAAATTTAAGATGTTTTCTATTCATAATGTCTGGGATTTCTAATTGGAATGAAATTAAATTCTATTAGATGTGTTACATTATTCAAGTGAGTATCATTTCAAAGAAAGAAATGTGAGCTAAAGGGCTGAATATATTATTTCAGAGATTAAAAGACAAAGAAATGAGAATGAAGATTCATATTAGAAACTTTCTAGAACAATATATAAATAGGAAGACCTCTCATTGCTAAAGAAAGTGAACTTTTACCTACGAACTGTTCCAGAATTCAAATGTACCAGTTACCGGAAACCCAATCCTGACAAATAATAAAAAAAGGGTGCTTCATTTTCTCTAAACTGACAGATGCAAGAAATAGCAAAATTTTAAGCACTTCAAGTTTCCTTTTAGAAAAAGCCCAGTGAAGAAACTAGGAAAGTAATTAATTTATTAATTGTTTTAAAAGCGTAACTAAATCCTCAACCAAGATCAAGGTCTCATCATTCTAGTTTTTAACAGACGTTCACTCATCCATGTAATAAAAAGACAATTCTGCTCTGCAGAACCTACTATAAATATTGCACAACAGATAAAAGGTAAAAAGTTTCAAAGCTGACTTAAATATACAAGCCTCACTCTAAATTAATGAGCAGTAAATGGTCCATAAGTATTTTGAAATGTTTTTGGAAAAAAATTTCAAAGCACTTAAGTCACCACTGCAAGCAGGACAGATCAGCAGTGGAGTTCAGTAAGTACCTCCAGTAAGTAAGAAAATGTAACAAACAGTTGAATATGCTTGGTAAAATTTACCATGCAGTACAAGAATATATATACATATGTGTGTGTGTTTTTAAAATATAAACACTGGGAAGAGTATAGTAAGATGTCAGGTGTTTAACCAGAACACATTCTAGGATTTTGGAATATAATACTACTTCCTTCCACCTGCAGTGAGACAGCCTGAGAGCAAAGAATGGCTATTTGATAACAATTAATCTCACTCCAGTGCAGTTATAGCTTCCCCTGTTAACTACCGGTTCTATAAACCACTCAATACTGAGAAAGTAGCATTCCATGGTGGCTGAATGCCTGTTAAATACTGCAGTAAATGCAACACAGTATTTATGTAGACTGTTGGCACCTGTCTCCTCTCATGAGCTGATGCTGCTCTCAGCTGACCAGAAACATCAATAGTTTTAATGACTGAAAGTTTTCAGCCTTCCCCACTAACAGAAATAAGTGATATAGACTTTATTATGTTTGGTAGTAAAAAGGAAGGCAAACATTTTGTACAGAGACCTATGGGACAGACCCTTTTTTTTTTTTTCTTCCTCCTGGAGTAGCTGAAACGTTCCTACTAGATGTGTATTTTATAAACTCATGCAGAATTTTACCTAGGATGCCTAAGCTGCTTTGCCTTGATTCAGTGTCATTCTTTTCCTGATCAGTCCTAAGCATTGCCAGTGACCTGTATTTAACATCTTCACTAATTTGTAGAGATTTATGTCTTAGAAGCCTTGAAATTTTTGCACACTATGAAGTACCATATTGCTGTCTACAAAGTGTACAGACTTCACAGCAACCAGTCACTCAACAGAGACAACTGCTTGCAACCTCTGTAATGTTAAATCCACTTTACTATTTTAGCTCTTAAAAACATGACATTTCAGGAATTTCTTATACTCCCCTTGAGCAAACCCTGAACATACAGTTCTGCCTTTGTTCATTTATCAATTTTCCCCAAGTCTTAGACTAATAAACCAGATGATGCTATCAGTGCAGGAATATAGATGATTTCGGTACTACAGAATGTAGTCACCATCTTTGTGGCCAGACAGTCTTTATTATTCAGAAATTATTTCTTCCCTTCACATTGGGTTACAAAGTTACCAACTGAAGAACAACAATATGCACAACAGTTTGTGATACCAGTTACACCAATTTCTGCAGCCTGCTTCTTGGCAAACAGATACACTGATGCTGCTCACAGAGATCAAAGCAATGCAAAGAAACATACACTGAATCTTTTTTTTGTCTGGTGATTCCTGGGTTCTGATGAACACCAATGCCACAATAGGTCCATCCCTCACAACTAAGTATTGAAGCAAAGCCATGGGTCCCTCTTGCTTTCTTTGTAATCACTTGAATTGCACTCTCGTCAGCACAGTGCCAAATGCTGAATTGTCCTAGCCTCCAGTAGAGAGCAAGTTCTTCCCTTCTCTCAGACATTGTACAAGGAGCAATACCTACTCAGTTTTCTCCTAGGATGGAGCTTAGTGATGTAAGCAGTGAGTGTGGCATAAGTTTCACTATGCTAATTTGGGCCAGTTGCCCCAGAAATGTACTGAGATTTCTGTTTGTTCCTTCTGTCAAAGCACTAATAGTTTTATCTATCCTGTCACCCAGGGCTATCCCCAGCATCACAAGAAAGCAGGCGTTCTGAAGTGGTGAGATTCTGTGATGAACCAAGATTTGGAACTGAATTCATCTTTAGTGCTTTGGCAGTGGCAAAATTTTTAAGTCCTGCTTACACATGTATTTGCAGTATGTTACACAATACAAACCCCAGTGTTGCCAGATTAGGAACAGAACTAGAAACTCTAGTCCTGTTCTATTTTGGGTGTAGAAACAGATTAATTATATACTGCATAGCAACTGATCTTTTAAACTACGGTGGAAAGCTGCAGTAGCACTGTATTTTCAGATTAATACTACTTGTCTTACTCAGAAGTATCTCCTTGGCATACATGAGTGTCATGTTTTGCTGCTACTCGTGAACTACTTAGTTTGCTTTAAAAATGTTAAGGCACAGGAAAGTGTTTTCTGAACTAAAGATGCAAAAAATGGAAGACAGAACCATAGTTCAGGTGTCACAGGGGTCAGTGAAAAGAAACAAAACAAGATGCTCTCTGGCATTTCTAAGATGAAGTATTCATTAACCTATATGTTATAATAAAACAGCAGTGAAAAATTTAAGTAAGCATTCTTTTCATGTTTCTGACCCTTTCAGATAATTTTTTATTTTATTATCTTTCTTCTGAGGAAGAACAAACAGCATGTTAGTTCTCAAACTTTGTCATAAAGATGTTAGTGCTTAACACCAGTTCATGACAAGGAAGAAGACAAAGTAACTGAGCTCAATTTCTAACACAGAACTTGCGTAAAACACTGCAAAGTCAGCACCTTTCCCACTGTTCGGATGGAGAAGCACTGGACCAGACTACTTCAAAGTTTTGATGGGCATCAGAAGTAGAAAGCTTCTGTCAGCTGTAGGTCTAACTGATCCTGCCCTGGGCACAGGCTTGGACTGGAGCGCTTCTAAAGCATAACTAGAGAAAAAGGGGATAGAGGAGCCAATCCCGCTATCAGAGTGTCCTTCTAGAGCTGTGTCCCATGGCACTACTTTTTAACCAAGTGTTCTATGACAGTCCGCTAAGATATTGTAATTCCTTCCAGAAGTATGCTGTTAATAAAAACATCATCATTCTTCATAGCAGTAACCATTCTCTCTCCCAAAGCAAAGATCTGCACAAGAGATTTACCTAAATCTGTAAGGACTGAAATGTCACTGCTCTGACAGTGCTCTGCACAGAATATAGGCTGCATATGTATCACATCCATTAGAACTGTCATACAGAGAAACACCCAAGTCTGGTCAAAGGATGATATTGCAGCCTGAAGTTCAAAAAGGAAAAGGATGTTAGAAACTCTAGATGCCCATTAGATAAAGAACCATTCAGCTGCATTAATAATGATCATTACACAAAACAGCAGCTAACAAACAGTACAGTGGTGACACTAGCAGGTACATGCAAATAACACAACTTTCACCTGAACTGAATCAATTTCCTTACATCCTGAAGTTTCAAGAATTAACTAATAAAACTGGTGTGTTTGTCTTTAAAGGCTGTTTATCCCCAAGATTAACATTATGCTCCTAAGAGAACATGCAAAGGAATTAGAAGCAAATTATCAAAAACGTATGTTCAGATGAAATAATTATAATGCTTTTCAACTGAAAGCATGCTAACTCTGAGTTACAAAGGCATATCCTGTAAATATCTAGGATTCCCTTTCAATAGCTTTGCTATAAACATGTAATGCAAGATAAAAAAACCCAAGTGTCAACATCAGGACATTTAAAGTAGATATGGTTGAGGAGTAAGGAGGAGACAAGTAGCTGCTAATAAAACTCAACAACCTCACAGATACACTGAATGTTCCCAGTATAGGCACTATTTTTTAAAAAAAGACTGAAATTTGCTATGCTGTGTATATCTACCACTTTTGTAAACAGCCAGTAAAGAATTAATTTTTCATTTACATGTATCTGATATGTATATGATATATAAATATATATATACACACATACATAGCATCAATTTTTAGGAGACTTTCCTAAATGTAAACAATTCATACCACATAGTCTCTTCATAGCAAATGCACATGCATACAAGAAATAACTTCAGGAATAGGGGGAAAAAACCCAACAATACTAAGTCAGTTATAAAAGTTCCCTTCACTACAGCTTCCAGGGCTAATAATAAGATAGAACACAAAAGCAGTTTCCAGCTGATTTCCATTTATCCCCAATCTCTAATTACAGTATTTAGCAGCAACTTTTTTCACTGAATGAATACTGTCCTAGACAGAGAGCAAAAACTGCAGCAGCTGTGATAACAAACAATGAATGAGAGTGTATTTAATATGTGAAGTTGTACCATGCTCTCTGAATGCTTTACTTACTAATAGTATAACCTCAAATTTTGCTTACAATATTTCTGGATTCTTCTTTATTTTTATGTTGTGCTTGTGCATTTGACATCTTTCTATCTAGTCCTATTGCTTTTTTTCTATCAGTTTTCCATAAGGCAGTAAAGAAAAAAGGAAGAACTAAAATTTAAAAGCAAAACCAAAAAGGAGATTTTCTACAACTGAGCTATTTGATGGCATTCATAGTATCTATCTTCCCATGACTTTCACCCCCCCTTTTAAGAAATCAAATATTACACATGAAGTCACACAACTATTCCTGAATTCCTCTGCCACTGCAGGATGTGGAAGTACTAAGTAACACTGGCAAAATTTTTAAAGCCAGTAATTTTCTTTATTGGTTAAATATAAATTAGGGGAAAAGGGAATATGACACACAATGCAAACACTGCTGTGCTTTGTATCCTAATCACAGAACAATGTAAATTTTCATGTCTTCCATGACATATTTTCACTGTTAGGACTGACTGTCTGTGCATGATATTCTAGCATTAAAGCCAAGTTCATCACTCAACTCCAACTTGCTTATTTGTTAAAGAAAAATACATAAATTTCACTACTATTTTGTACTTGACTCTCCTCAAAACAACTCTTTGCTTTTTGCACTTTCATTATCCCTTTGTCTTTCTCCCTTATTTCACCAGATTACTGCTGCTTCCCTTCAGCCTTGTTCCAGCTATCAAATTTTCAGCCTTTTATTTTTCTCACGTGTAGCTTGCATCCATGTGCTACCACCAAAACAAAAAAATACTTTCAAAAAGAGTCTAAGTATTTGTTCTTAAAGAACAGAATGCACCTTAAGAGGATTTCAGCTCCAATGTTTATGTTGTGGTTTTCACACACAATGCTCCTCGGAAGATTTCATTAGATCATCTGCTGGCATACACAGCTACCCCAAAGGAAGATAAATGGTAATAAAAAAAGTCAAGAAGATAATCTGGCATTATGATTTTATTGAAAATTGTGATAAGGGCCAAAGTAAGTTTAAAAACTCAAAGTGTTCTTATCTACATAATTTTTAGTTTTAAATTTTCAGAGTTTTTGTGGGGTTTTGATTATTAAGAGGTTAAGTGTTAGGGCTTCACACACACAGAGCACTTTCACTCCCTCCACCACCATCTCTAGTAAGTCAAAAAAAGGAGCACAACTCCTCCACCTGAGAAGAACAAGAGGAAAAACGTGTTTTTCTACTTGTGGGTTATCATTTACACCTGTAGAGTATATGTGTCATTGCAGCCCAGGATTTCTTCTTGGACTACCTAAATTTTAATAGGAAAACTCCAGAAATATTCAAATTTTGAAAATACATCTGTATTACAATTTCTGCTGCAATCATTCTCCCACATGAAACACATCTCAACCTTAGTGGAATGAATGGTCCCTTTCTGAAGGTGTTTTAGGCCCACAAGTTCAGAGGCTTTGGTTCTCTTCAGGTTCATGAAACCTACGAAACTTGCTCAAGTTCCTCATGCCACTGGTCCACCTTAGTGGAAAGGGGCAAGTCAGACCACAGGTTTATCCCTAACAGTAAGTTAATATCTTATCAAAAGAATGTTAGAGGAAGCTGTGTACAACGACTTCGTTGGCACAAGTCCAGATAACAAAGCCCACCTAAAAAGAGTGATTAATTTATAAAGCGATGTTGGTTATTTCCCGCATGAGCAAGCAAGTCTTCAGGATAAGGCATGTTAAAACATGCACACCCACTGAAATGCTTTTTTAAGATAAAAAATATGTTGTATATAATGAAGGTCCAAGCAGGCTGCTGAACAGAATTTGTATGAGACAGGTGCATTAAATCTCACCTTAGCTTCAAAAATATGTTATATATGCCTGCACTAAAGAGGCAGTACTACCAAAGATGCACAAAGGCAAAGTAGCAAAGCACCATCTTTTTTTTTTTTTTTTTTTTTTTTTTTTTTTCTTTTCTTCACCCTGCCCCTCCTTCCAAACTCCTCAGCAAGGCACAAATACCTAGCAGTTAGTTAATTCCTTTAAAGAGAAAAATAAAAATAACGCCTAGAAATTTCACTTAGATCCTAGCCTTGTAAGCAAGAGAAGATGTGACCGCAGGATTAATTCTTATGTTTTTACATACCTATTCCATGGCCTTCATAGAGCTGTCTTTCACGTTCTATGGTCTGCTTGATGACAGCTTCCCGTGAACCATGCTGTCTTCCTTGTCTACCTTTAATACTGTTTTGTAATTCAATCTGCTCCAGTTCAGCATTGAATCGACACATATAACTGAAAGAAATAAGGTGTATTTATGCTAGATGCAATCATGCAAAACTTTTGCAAAACAGAATTACTTTGACAATCCAAGAAGTTATTTTAGTAATTGTATTTATTTTCTAAATTAGTCAGAGATGTTTCGTAGATTTGAACTATTACTTTAATCTTCAAAGTGGAAGCTCCATTTAGAACTTCCTTTGAATCACCTGCAGCTTAGAGAAGGACTATTTCTTTTTAATTTGCTTTTTTTTTTTTAAAACTATGTTTGCATAAAAAAAAACAAAACAAAGAAACCAAACACATTATTATAATTTACCTGCTCTGGAAGCCCAGTGTTAAATTTAAGTATTCCTAACTTAATTGCTGAATTTCACCACCTCAATAATAATTTTTAAAGTAAAGTTCACCTCTCAAACACCTAACTCAAATCCAAAAAGTAAGCTTTTATTGCCTTCGTGGTATCACTAGTGTGGATTAGCAGTTCATGAACAGTGTAGGAACTATGTCAGAGGTTCTGAAAGGAAATGGATATAGTACACCTGTGTAAGAATACATATATATTACTTCGCTAGGAGGTGAAGAATAATGACAAGCTAGAGGTACGTACATCCAGAAGCACCAAAATAACCAAGTTCCTTCTCAGCAGATTCAATTTTGATATTTCCTGCCCTAAAAATTGACCCACCTGAGTACTGTTTAATCTCAGCAAAGAAAATTAAAGAATAAAAGAGTAAGTAGAATGAAATCTGCACATTTAAGTGTCACTGACTGGCAAATTTGTGCAATTACTACTGTCCAAATCATTTACAGTCCACCACATACTATAAAAGCAGAGATATACTGAAACAGTAAAAAAACCAACACGACTTCAGTAATTCTAGTGTGAATATCTATATTTTTCAATACATAATTAACCTCAGTTGCAACCAAATCAACTATTTGATATTATTAATAGTAATGTATAAAAAGTCCTTCTGAGTCATCATCACTTTACAGAACTTATTTAAGATTATTTTAAAAGACAAATCAAGGTTTTTAATCCTGTTTTTAACAGCAGTCTTACTTTTCAATTAGTTCACCAGCTTCCTTCTTTGTGTACTCAATTTTATTGGGGTCAAGATGACTTTGAAACCATTGCAATTTTTCTCCTACAAGAACAAACAACATTAAAGATTACATCATCATTGTACAGATCAAAGTTCATCAGTTTTTGAAATAACCCCCCATATTTCAAGATTTTGAATGGCATCATAGACTCACTGATATTGTGAGTACTAGGTGTGAAAGTAGCTGTAATAGCAACATTCTCACATAATTTCACATGTATTTTATGTCTTCCTTATGGCAAAAAGATGCTACACTTTGCTTTACAGGAAATTAGTGTTTAAAATATCACTGGATCAATTGCTCAAGACGGAAACTTAGGAAGGTCCCAATGGGAAAAAAAAACCCAACATAATGGCTGAACAAGAGTTCCGATCATCACAATTTTAAAACACATTAAATTGAAAAGGAGCAGTGTCAATCATATGAGAGAGAAAAATATTCAAGGTTGTGACTCAAAATTTTGAATTTACTTGCTAGCACTATGTGGTCTGTTGACCTATATATATGTCATCCTCTTTTACAAGCGATTGGAAAAAAAGCATGGAAACAAGTACAATAAATACACATGCAGATGTACAAAACAGACATTTGGTCTATATTGCCCTGTTGTCATATACTGACTAAAGATTAGGCTATGCTCAGCCCCAAGTTCAACTCTGTATATAGTACCTGAGTGAACATGTCAGGTATTTTAGCATTTCAACAAAGTCTATTTTGAGACTACGGAGTCAGATCATAGAGAAAGAAACTTTAATTGGATTATCTATAAAGTTGGTAAAACTAAAAATCTATGCTAAAAAGTTGAGTACTGTATTCGCTATTAGAAGTTTCTACTCACCGATGATACTCAAACGCAAAGCTTTGTCAGTCTTCAACCTAGGAGAGAAAAACCAGATACGTTAGTCAGGAATGAGTACCACACAAATAATTACCGCCATTTTCTTTCTCAAAAAAAAAAAAACCTATTTTGGAGTCACAATGGAAGTCAAGGTAAAATTTCAAATACAAATATTTGCCAAATTCAGAACAGTGTAAAACTGCTTCATCTAAAAAGTCTACTTTTTGATAAAACTACTACCTGAAATTTGTCCAGTTTACCTATTAAGTTAAACAGTTTCTCGGAATAAATTAAATTGAAAAACCAGAATGAAAATAGGACACTTTCCTTAGAGCACAGCAAAAGGAATTTCATGGAAGACCTGCACTGTAATTTCATTATTTCTATATTGTGCTTGTATGTTTAATGAGCTTGGAGATCGAGAACAAAAGATATCACCGTACTGCACACTTGCAAATCCAGCATACAGTCTGAAAAATACCATTCTAGTATCTAGTGAACTTGTAATAATTAAAGTTTTTTATTAGCAATCAGTAAAAGTTAACATGTTAAGAAACAAAAATTAACAACTTCATAAAAAAGCTTATTAAAAAAAATCCGTCCCAAAGTATTTTTCACTACACCTCAATCTCTGGCAGGATACCTGAAGTCTTCTGTACCCTATGGGATGTGCGTACACAATTCAGTTTGGGATTAATTCCCATCCTATTGAGCAGTTCTCAGAGAATACAAATTTTCTAACAGGTAATACAGTGCCTCATGCATTTTCGTCCTGAAGCTGTCAGATTCAGTCTGCAACAATGAATGTTGCTGAATGTCACTTTATTTCCAGAAAGGAAAATAATACATCCTTGGGATAAGTATGAAATTTGTCACTGGAAAAAAATATCTTCGCCGTGCATGTTCAGTGTATATATCCAAGGACCTCTGATAAAATTGACTTTTTTTCTATTATTTAATAAGAAAATTGATAAAGAAAATCATAGAGGATATCACTGACAAAGAACAAATAATGCCAAAATTCAACAGAGTTCAAAGCTAATGTGCTCCTTTATTAAATTACTTGTATCCATAGAATTTAATGAGCATTTTAGAGTTAGCTGAAGTAACTCGGAGCACAGAAGTCTGTCACCTGTCACAAAAATTCGGATCAAAAGAGAAAGCCCTACTTTCCAGAGACAAACATACCTGTTGTGTCTCTTGGCCACAAACCTACATTATTAAAGATTAGCTTTTTCAAGAAGTATTTCAGCCTCTGAAGACCGTCTAAAAGCCACATAAAAGCAAATGCACAGCACGTGTGAGCTGCTAAGAATGCCACTAAAGCATTCAAGAAAAGCCTTTTTACTTTTATATATACCCCAGCATCTGGGATAAGCATTTTTAATGCAGAAGTCTACAGAGGTCAAGCATGGGGTTTGAGTTTTATCATACCCACCAAAAAAAAAAAAACCAAACCCAAGCTGGTTGGTTAATTACAGGATTTTAGTGTTTAAACAAAAAAATGACTCTCATTCCTGTGGGTTAAACGACAGATCTGGATGAGACTATGTAAAATAGAAAGGAAAAATGAGCTAGATTAGAAGTCAGCTTTAAAACTCGGCTGTAAATGTCTTCAGTAAAAATTGTGGCAGGTAGCCTACAGAGAGCTTACAGCAGGGAGTTTTGAAGGGCAATAGCAACCCAGAAAAGGACACATATTCCACACACAGTGGAACTCCACACCTGCAGTCCCTGCTGTGAACCTTGCATGGCAGCAAAGCCAGAGGAGCACATCTGCAAAGCATTGCCATGGAGAAAATTATGGTGCCATCTAGAAAAGCCGCCTGCTTAGAATCATAAATTAGATCATGTATCTCTGCTTTAGAACACTATAAAACCACCATTTGCATGTATAAGGGTCACTGGATCATTTATTTATTTAGGCAATGAAGTATATAACCAGGATTTTCTTCTGGAAGAAAAACTTTCAGTCTCTAGGTGTATGCAACATATTTCAGGAGAAATAACGAATGACAAGATCAGATGTTGTCTTATTGTAGTTTTCATAAAACCTCACCTCAATGACTGCTAGAAGACAGCAGAGAGGCTACTCAAATAAGGCAAGTCAAAGGAAATTCCCCTCATCTCCTTCCACACGAGTAACATCTTTTGCTCAATGGAAAGAGAGGATGAGGACAGGGATACAAACTTGCTGCAGGGTGTTGCTTCTTAATGATTTTCTCTCCCACCTTCCTTCCAAAAATCATCTACTTAGGCACTGATTATTGATAGGGATGATTAGTGGGTTTTTTGATGCTTTCTAGGTACTTAAAAGATTAAAGCCTTCATGCTCCATCAGCACCTCTTTATCTCGGATACCGTGTTCAACTGTTCCACTCCATATACTAACAATGAATAAATATTTGCCAAATCAGTTTACCAATTCAGTATTGTTCCATATAATCTCCACACATACAAATACCATCTATGGCTCTGAGAACTAAGGCTCTTTCACAAAGAAAAAAAAAATCATGGTTGACAGGACCTATTTCCTTGTTTCAGGTTGCTAAATACCTTCCATATTTTGTCCTATACACGGCTGGTTTTGTTAGCTTACGCACCAATTGGTGGCTTTGTTAAACATTTTAGGATACTTCCGTAAGAAAATCCCCCTATAAGAATTAAAAATTCTGGGGTTTTGCAGTTCATTTTTTTATTTCTGTAAGCAAAATAAATAATTTTAAGAGCCAACATTTTTTCAGTTCCACATAAAGAATCGGCAGGAGCGCATCTCAAAGCATCACTGCTGCAAACAGCACAACTAGAAGCACAGTGGCTCAAAGGAGATTAAGAAGGTAGACAACAGGAACGCTAAGGAGAAACAAACAAAGAGCTGCACAAGGAGATATTTTGAGGCTCCTAGGGGGTCGCTTCACGCCAGATCAAGAAATACTGTAAAAACTTCCTAGCTCTCATATCTCAGAGCATGACAGTATTAGACTACTGTATTTGTAATGAAAATGCAGAAGTTCCTAAAAAATTTACAATATATGCACAACAGGAGGGGATTATTTTGACTCAGGAGGGAAAAAAATGGAAAAAAAAAAACCCAGTGCTGGATGAGCTTTAGCTACCAAAGCCAAATAGAGATTTCAGCAGTTGCAAACAAAACATGATTGGTGTTGGTACATCACTACTAAGAGAAGTTCCAGGAATATCCCATTATCGTCTGGTTTCCCAAAGAGTAGAAAAAGCAGTGTTCTACTGGTGCCAGTGAACCAGCTATGGCTGTCTTATAAAAGCATCTTTGTAATTATTTAACAGAGCAAACAAGTCGCCTACAGGAATAAGGCTTCACATGCAGATAAGAAAGAATAAATCGTAGTAAAACACTGGAATTTGTTGCCGCTCGTTAGACCTTGAGAACTGAGAAGAGGGATGCAGGCAAGAAAAAGGTGCGATTCAAGTGAACAAGATGACTTAAAATTGTAGTCAATTTTCTAAAATCAACTGGTCTGTCTCCTCTTGTTATGGTTAAGATTGGTCCTTTGTAGTGCAGCCACAGTTTCTGGACATTAAGCTTATTATTTCATATTTCATAGAGAATGCTTGCAATGAAGACTATCTGGACAACAGAGGCTGTAAAAGATTCCTGCAACTTAGAGCAGAATTTCTCCCTTCTTTTTCCCAGTGCCGCATTAAGTATTGGAATTCTTTATGGGTAGTGTCTTCCCTTTTTTATCTTGTTTGGGCAAAAGATACTTGAATATGCATCTCATAACTAAACGCAATTTCCTTTCCTGTTTAGCATAAACAGGAAAGTTCACAGTAGTTATTTCTCTTCCTCCATCATATAGAAAAGTTGAACAGTAAATAGAAGCCTGAACTGTCTCTAGTCGTGAATCCTGTCTCCAGCCAAGTACCAAAGGAAAAAAAAACAAACCCAAAACCAAAAGAAACAAACCACACAAAACCAAAGCAAACATTTACTGATGCTTCTACAAAAAGACTTTCTCACTTTCCAGTAACATTCTATTTAAGGGCTTCCTACACCCAACGTAATACCTTTGTAGTGAATAGTAATCAATAGATAAAATGTATGTACGTTCAAAAAGTATTATTGCACAAATTCGGCCAACCACAATTACAGCATCTTCTGGCAAGTAAATCCACAGATTAACTAAAATAATGCAGAGGAACATATGAACTTCCCAGATTCATTGGACTGTCCCTGATCCCGTTTTTCCATGCTGCAGAAGTGCACTAGCCTGTACAGAGAAATTACCCCTTTTACTCGTACTGTTGAGATCATATTAAGAATACTGCCTCCAGTTTTGGACCCTCCCCACATTTAAGACTACTTATTTCTATACGATAAGCAGCATGGTCAAAAAAGTACCAGATTTGTAGATGGGATTAAGAAAATACTGTAGAGATTATGAGGCCACTTCTCCTCATTACCACCAAAGGATGTATTAACCTCCCAACCAGAGAACCAGGCTGTCACTAAATAAAGTAATTTAGAAAATTGTTTCTGCAAATATTTCAACTTCAGTAAGTACTCTTCCAGTGAAAAAATCTTCAGTAAACTTACTGCAGTTAAGTCACAGATTTAGAAGGAACAATGCCAGAGCGTTTATTCAGTATCATCAGCTGCCACTAAAAGAAGACATCCAATAGACCTGCAAAAGCAATGAGGAAGAACAAAACTGTTGTGGGCTACTTCTTTTTCCTGAGCGTAGGAGTGGAAAGCTCTCCTCTGTCCACAGCATCAGAAATTTATCTTGTCTTTTTTACAGCTCTGCAAAATGAACCCAGCCCCACCATTATGTTAAAAAAAAAGAAAGCTAAGTAATTACACTAAAGAGACTGGTTAGTGGCCAAACTGGCTTTTTTTAAACACATGCTTAACTCCCAATATTTAAAAAAAAAAACCAAACACCACCTTAAGATTTAACAAGCTAATCATTAAGATAATAAAGATCCAAAAGAAACTGGAACCCTTAGCAAGATTTTTAAAGGCACTAGGGAAGAAAAGAAATCAGTGGTATTCATGTCTTTCGAGTTAAATTGCTCTTCAAGCCAAGACAGTACAGAAAATAGAATAAAGACAGTTGGAGGATGTTTTTAATGCAAATTATTTTTAGAACACCACAACAAGAGAGATCTGCAAAGTGCAGATCTGTGAACAATGCTAGCTAATTGTTTAGGACCAAGAACAGCAAGATGTAGAAATCTTATTTATGGGTGGATCATTTTGCTATCACAATAAGCTTTGAATGATCCAGACTGACACTCTACTTTTGGTGGGACAGTTTCCCTATGCAAAATGAAGGGTTACATCTTTTAACATCAGCCTAGAGGCCTCACACATGAGGCAGTAGCTGGCACAGTGTAGTGTTTTGTATTTAGGATGAGAAGAATGTTGATAACTCACTCATGGTTTAGTTACTGCTGAGCAGTGCTTACAGCAGTCAAGGCCTTCTCAGCTTCCCCTGCTCTGCCAAGTGCACAAGAAGCTGGGAAGCAGCAGAGCCAGGACAGCTGACCCCAACTGGCCAAAGTGGTGTTCCATACCATATGGCGTCATGCTCAGTATATAAAATGGGGGGGTGGGCAGTGACCACTGCTCAGGGATGGGCTGGGCATTGGTCAGTGGGTGGTGAGCAGTTGCATTGTGACTCACTTGTTTTCTATTTCAGCCTACAAATTCCACTTTTTTTTCCCCCAATTCTCTCCCCCATCCCACTGCGGAGGGAGGGAGAGTGCGAAAGGCCATGTGGTGGTCAGCTGCCTGCCACGTTAAACCACAACATCTCTATGGAGCATCTCTGCTCTTGAGGGGCCTAAAAAGGATAACTATCAACATCCTAAAGAGAGCCTAAGGGAAAGGATAGCTATCTACATCCTCTAATCTTAAACTGAGTTTCTCTCTTTTAAGCACTTGTGCTCTGTGAAGGCTTCACTGATCCCCACAAGAATTCAGAATAAACCATCTTCTCTTTCATCAGGCTGCTTGAAGCTCACCTTACATTAGCTTGCTTGGCTGCCAATATTTAATCTTTTTTCATAAAATGGCACTTTTCCTTCAGGTAACCTGTGACACGTACCAAAAGGTGGTCTGCTAGTTTCACTTGGAAGGATTCTGCTGCCACGACTAGCCCCTTTTACTACATTTCAGAGGAAAGGAACAGGAAGGCTAACCACACTGCTGTAAAGATCACTGTCTCTTGAACAGGTAAAGAACTCATTTATAAGTAAGTTTGTTTCTTTTATGTAAATTCCTTTTTTAAAAGCAAATAACTTTACAAAGAAAGGCTGAAATAACATGGTAGATTTACATGTGCTAGCAAAAGCATTTGAACTGAACTTAAATACTGCAAAAAAGTTTTCATAGATTAACCTGTCATTGTGCACAGGGGAAGCTACTGGAGCCCAAATGAAGGGCAAGGAGCATTTAGCTGTCTTTAACAGCCAGTGGTAATGGGTGCTAGGAGATAGAAGGAAGACACTGTAGCAATTATTCCACATGTACTGCTAGTCAAGATAAGGTGTTACTTGCAAGACATTAGGAAGTAAATTCCCTAAACATAAACTCATGATTCATCCTTGCGCAACCTGGTTCTGCAGCACTTAACTCCTGTTCAATCCAACAAATCCATTTTAGTATTGCAATTATTGATGCAGTTTAAAAAAAAACAATCAAAAATGAACATGGTTGTACTAGAGCTGTATTCCACAATGTATTAACTGGAGCATCTTCTGAAAAACTACAACCATAGGGGCTAGCGCAGATAAAAGACTGGTATTGTCATGTGCTGAGCTGTGAGGCTTAATCTATGCTGGCAAGCACAGACAGAAATCTACATAGCGAAGACTAGAATGAATGCTCAGACAAGCAAGTCTTGAAATTAATATATTCAGTGACAACTGCTGAAAGAAAGGAAACTTCAAATAAATTAAATAATTTAATTCTTTGTCTGTCATTGGGGGACATAGAACTTTTTTCTTAAACTGAACTTAAGGGTTAAGATCATCTAGATCATCATATGAGAAAAAGACAAGGTAGGTTACAATTGCTTATTACGAGTTCATCTGTCCAGAGAACTAGTTAGAAAGTCAGCAATTATTTCCAGTTTACAGAACCCTGTGTGCTCTAAACAGCCTTTGGCTCCTAAAACAACTTTGATTCCATATTTTGCTCTGTAGACTTCATTTGGCAATGTTAGCAGTGGACTAAACGCCCACACCACAAAGGCAGCTCCAGTAGCCCAAGACACCCTGACACTGCTTTGAATATCCTTAAAGCAGTAAACTTTCCAGCTGTTCAGCAGAAAAAGCACCTGTGTTAGAATTAAGCAGCATTACTTAAATACTATGACTTGCCAAATCTAGCTACCTCAGTAACAAAGCCTAGTCAGTACAAAGCCAGCCTCTTTTCATTCCTTTTCATGGAAAGGATGACCCAATTGCTGAAATATTAATGCACTAAGCAGGGAAATGAATGATGCATTTGGTACTCTCTTACCTGCAGCAAAATAAGATTACCTTATTACAGAGCAAGTTAAATGAAGAACGCTATTCCAACGGGAATTCTCTGCTTTAACTTCTTGCTGTTGCAAGACGAACCAGAAGTAGCACTCTAACAAGAACAGTCAGCGCAGGTGTCTGTATCAGTGTAATTCTACCTACAGAGACAATCACTAAAAGGTTTGATTGGGTGTGCCATGTCATACTGAATAATCAGTACATCACTCCTTCATTTGTGCATGCTTTTCTTTATGGCAAAGTCACAGACGTAAGCACTAAGACTCAAGTATGATTCAGTTATCTTTTGTGATTAAGCTCACTGAGTGGCAGTTATGAGGCAAGATGAGAGTTAAGAGACAAAGTACTCAATTTAGCATTAGAAAAATAATCTACAATAAAAACTTGTTTACAATCAGTAGTCAGAGAGCACAGACAAAACACAAAGCAGCAGGGAAAACTTCTTGCACAGTAGGAAACTGCCCAATCCTCAGCCCATGCTACTTGTAAATTCTTGCGGCAGCTCTGCATGAGGCTACATGACACAGCTATGCTGGTAAAGGGCCCCTTTCTAGTTAGAGCAACCTTACAAATTTTCTGTGAATAAAGTTGTACATCCATCCCCAACCACAAAATTGCAGAGTCTCTGAGGAACATGTCAACTGTACCAGGAGTTCCCAATTTAACACCTTCAGACATATGAAAATTTGGGTTCAGCTCACTTGGTCCATCCATATACTAGTATATTTGACAGAAAATGCTTTAAGTTTGTTTTAGTAACTTTCTGAAGAAATAAACATATCAACCAGCAAGCTGAGACAGAATGGAAACTAAAGGCCAGTCTTCTCCAGCTACCTTTTCCCTCTGTGGAAGAGGAAAGTGAAACTTAAAAGCAGAAAACCAAACTTCCTATAGAATAGCAGGAAATCACCAAAGAAGAGTTACCTATTCGGTTTTATTCAAGTCTCTCTTCTGCAGGAAGGTATCTGGGTTTTCTTTTCTATGAACTCAAAATTTCAGCACAAGAAGCCAGACCCTAAGCAGGATTCTTGGAGTGAAGTCAAACTAAGTGACTAGGCTTCATGTGAAATCACCAACATCATGCCATTCAGATTATAAAGAGGAAAACTCTGCAATAAGAAGAAACCTAACTTGTAAGGACAATACCAAAAATCAAGCAGCAGAACTATATGCTTTGTATAAGCCAATTTCATGAATGTAAACCTGTCAATTCATGCTGCCCAGCAATATTAAGTTATACAGCTCTTTCTTTTACTTTAAGGTTATATCAGCCTAACAGTCCCCTTCAACCACCACCCTCCTCCCCACCAAACTAAATGATGATGCTATCCTTTAGTCTGTACACAGATTTTGCACAGTCAACTTACTTTTCTTTCTTTTCCTGTTTGTGTGCTTCCCTCGCAAGCTGCGCGGCTTTTCTGCTGTAAGGATGGATAACTTTTTTTTCTTGCTTCCCTCCTTGGGTTTTCCGTAACTTTGGCTGAAAAGAAATCAAAGATACTCTACGCTACTGAAGTTAAGTAAAACATTAAAAGTAAGATAGGAGCTCACACCATGGTGAAGACTTAAAGGGTCATGCACCAATATCTCAGAAAGCCCTTAACTTAAAGTAGCAGCTTATCAGTTCTACCAGTTAGATCTTGCCCTCCTCAGTAACAAACAAAATTACTTCAACATGGTACATGTTGTAGCAAAACTACTGGAACACAGAAAATGCTGTAAGAAACCTTACATAGCAACTACTCGCAAAATGCCTATTTTGTAGAACCCAGCAGCCAGGAAACTAAGGTTACCTCTCTGCACCTATGCAGTATGTGTCCCCACTCAAGCTTCTAGATGATTGTTGCACCTGGGTTTCTCACAAAGGCCATATGTCATTTGTACAACATAACAAAATGGATTTTCTTGTCCCTCCACGCAGATCATGGGAACACTTCACATCAGGGAGCAGCCAGAGGCTTTCCTTCTCTAGCCCTTCATGCAGCAGAGAGGGAATACTACTCACCAATTTAAAAAATCCTGTAACGCTAGTTAAAGATATGTTTGTTACTTTTTGGTGAAAAAGTGTTTGAACAAAACCGATAGGCTTTATCAAACAATACGCAATTTAAATTCTCTGAAGCCTTTAACTGTGCAGGCAAAAGAAACACCTGGAAGCAAGATGGCTAAACATGCAAATGCGATGCAGGAAAAAGCAATCAACAGAGGATTTCTACGTCATATTATCTGTGTTAGCACCAGCGCTTAGGACTGCAAAAAAAAAAGGTAAGATAAAGTCAAACTATCCTGAACACCTAGAGAAATCTGAAGAGGCAGCCTGCGCTAGTTTCACACTTGAACCCTGCTCCTCGCTTCCTCTTCCCGCCAATCCGGGGGTGCTCGCTGGTGGGCCCCGGCATAAAACCAGCCCCGCTGCCGGCCGCCCTGCCGGGAAGGCCTAAAACGACGCATTACTCTCCGGGAGCCCTGGGGTAGAGAAGAAAGCCCTGAGCCCCAGGGTCTGTGGGGCTTTTGGTAGGGTAGTGTGTCCCGCTGAGGCACGGGTAGAGCTTTTGGCT